TCCGGACAGTACAGACGCGCACAAAAGTAGCGCGGTCTGTTCCGGACAGTTGCAGAGATAATAAAAGGTGTCGCCAGTAACGTATTTAATAGCATTGATAATATACCTTAACGTTGTTCTACAGATAATTACGAGCGATTCAGTTCAATGCGAAAGCTTTTCTTCCAATCTTAATAGCATCGTTCGACCATTTGATTCTTCGTTTAGTTTTCATTCGAGGTATTATTTGTGTAGTAACATTTTATTCTACTCGCTTATTTGGTTTAAACAACTCACGCTCGTAATTTAGAGGGATAGGCAGTGATCGCGGACTTCCATTTGGCGCTTTCCTAACACACCTTCTTACCTTACACCAACATACATTAATTTTGAAATAACTTACAAACAAAATAAGTCATTAATATTGCATTAAACATGCCTGTTTTCGATACTTTGAACATCGTTATTTATACACATATAGTTAAACATGGTACAACCGTATACATATTTGATGTACTGGAAATAACATTCTTACGAGGAAAATTAAACCTTAGTGGAAACAAAATGGATACCAATTTCATTTGTTTTGTGGCGAGTGGACGCCATAGGGATTGTGTCAACATGGTCTTGAAAGCGGCGGTTAAGTGATCCTAGGCCCTTGAGCTAGGAGTACCACTACGTATTGTAACCTCATAGTCTAGAGTACATATTACTAATACTAGAGTTACTAAATGATATAACTTAACGCGTTTTAATGTGCTTATGTTGAGTATAACTGCTCAATTGCTAAGTAAGACACTTAGCAACATGAGAAGTTTAATGTGAGTTAGGCAAGTTTATGTTTAATTTAACGATATAAACTATGTTTACTGATTTAATATTCTTATTCTAGTCTAATTAGATGTTAAATGCAAGTAAAATGTTTATGACGCCGCCATTAAGCTTTGCGACATATATTTCCGAAAATATGATTAGCTAAAAGGCTAGAAAGTACTAACTCAATAAAAGTTAAATTTCCTTCAGAGCCTTGCTAGTATCTATTACTAACCGTGGGTTTCCGAAACCAAAATTTTCGTTTAAAACATTTCTCTGTCATGTCAAAAATGAAAGATGCATGACGATATGTTTTATACGGAGATTTTGTCAGAAACCCATGGTAAATCATAATTTTATATTTTTGTAACATCAAAAGGCAGTAGAATCAAGCCGTGTAATTTAATAGCGCCTGTCCCCATCACGTTTGACCGTCGCTAACGTGCGCCTAAAAGTTTATTCATTCCGCGCACAAAGCATCGCTCTGCAAGCTTTATTTTTTATCTGTGGCAGTCATGTTGTAATTAAACATTTTCAAATGTCTATGTATTTTTTTTTATTCTGTTTTAGTGTTATTAATGTTTTGACAGTGGAAATCCACATTTAATAAAAAAAAATAGAATAGTCATGTTGAACATCAATTAAACGTCTTATATTCCGATAAAGCTCGGTTAATGTTACAATAATATCGTATTCACTTCACAACAGAGTTAAGTATTCTACAAGATTTTCAATTTTTTTTTAACAAAAAACCCAATTTTAATTTTTAATATTATAAGGTGGCAAACGAGCGAGCGGCTGAATTAATTCGCCGTAATAGCGAAGTGACCGCTGCCTATAGATATCGGCAATTGCAGTTGCGTTGACCTTTAATCTACATTGTACTGTTGCTGGCGTCTACCATTGTTCAATATAACACTAATAAATATAAGAAAGTGTTGAGTTCAGTTTAATTGCGAGATGCATGACATTTTATGTATAAATGGAATATTTCGTGATACAACCTGCACATATCTGAGAATATATTTAAAGATATGTGTGAAGTCAACCAAACCGCACTTGCCCAGCGTGGTTGACTATGACCTAATCACCCTTAACTTAGGTTAGGTCGGAGCCTACCTTAAGTTAAGGGTGATTAGGTTCTTAGGGCTCGGAAGCCCCTCGGTGGGGACGTATAGTGAGCTGATGATAAAGATGAATGAAAGACATGTTCAGAACCACTATCTTAACCATCGTCTTTCGTATATTTTATCATTTTAACTTATTTTTAAAAACTTTAAGTTTAGTAGTTTGTGGTGATTAAGTCACACTATTTAAGATCTTACAGTCGTTCAAATAACCCTATGCATGTAATAAAATTATTTGTTTAAAAATATTTTATTTGTTGAATTAAAAAAGAAACTGTATTTATTAAATATTTGCCGTCACTGCTTATTTTTATCGAAAAAAAAATATATTATAGAAATTATTTTCTTAAATGCATTCTTTTGGTCGTTAAATTTCCATTAAGCTTTGTTCATTATAGCATAAATCAGTTTGCTTTTTCTAAATGTATTCCTAATGATTAGGTTATTGTAGTTTTTAATGTGCTAGAATTTAAACACGTTATGATTTTATGCACTGGACGCGGGTGGCATAGGACTGGGCAGTGTGGCAATCGATGGAGGAGGCCTACGTCCAGTAGTGGATGAATTTAGGTTGATTATGATGATGACGATGATGATTTTATTTAGTTGTCTTTAATTCTTTGTAATAAATTATTCGATGTTTAACTGCAAATTTAAAAGTCATAAAGTAAATTTTATTCTCTCTCTCTCTATGTTATTATATTAATTGAGATATATTTGCTGTTATTTTTTGTTAAAAAGGACAAATCTTTGTTCGTTAACTGTTCCGTTCATATTTTTTTGCAGCCACAATATTCTTGTGATCATCAGACATCGTTTAATATATGAATTCTTCAATAAAGTTGAATTCAAAGAACGTAGCTATCAAACAACGCAATAGGAAGCAGGAATGGCAAACTTGTGTGCACGTACATATGCATTCGAACGACTGATTGAAAGTGGCATAGAAAAAGAATACTGTATTGTATAGTTCAGAAGGACACTCAAATGTACGAATACGGAAATTTTTATGAAGGTTAAAAGCAAATATTAAACAATTATCACGTTGTTTTTGTGATATTAAAAAATATTTTTAGTATGATAATAGTTCTATTTTGCGCAAAAATTCAAAGAGAAGTACAAACATTAATTTAATGTAATGAGTTCTTTTCACGCGGAGGCTCTACAAAGGTTCTACGCGCTACGGTTCGTGCTACGACGCGTGATTAATGCAACGCCTTTACTACTGTGAAACGCAATCATTATATTTATTTGATTACGTTTTTACAAAAAATTATAACTCAATTTTCGGCATAATAAAATTTTAAAATACAATAACATCATATTTTAATATAATTATGTCGAAATTACATCACGTTGACAATTTTTAGGCATTTTGAAGCTTAAAATTATAGCACCAAAATATAAGTTTGTAACCGCTAACTTGGAATAAAGTGCAAAACGTAATAAACAGCAAATATAACCAACTTTAATCATCGGAATAATTCTTACAAAAAAAATTTACGGTTGTGAAAAATCACTCGAAGTGGTTGATAGATTTCATACATAAATTCCAACTCATTTGAATCTCAAAATAAAATGATAAAATCAACCTTTTTTCAGTCACACGACACATAAAAAGCAATACTCGTAAACCTGAAAGGTCCAGATTTCAATTAGCGACAAAAAAGGCTCTTTTATATAAAGCAGCTATTGCATTGCCATTGGGGATAAATTGAGACGGGGGCCCCACGTAAATACCTGTATTGTACGATTTAACAGTCTCCCCACCTCCTCCTCCTCCTCATGGGGAATGTATTATGAATTTCACAGGTTCACAAAGAGAACGATTTTCAATTTACGGCCGTGCGTCTATTTCGATGTGATAAAATTTAATGTTTATTCTGATACATCCTGTATTATGATGGAGAAATTTACATCTATATCGTCTCTACATTTTTGGTTTACAGATTTTTTATTTATTTAAAAACGAATATTATTTTTACAAAAAATGTTTTACTATATTTAAAGTGTTATCACACCTATGAGATGATTAGTTATTTTTAAGCTTTACTTTATTATTAGGAATAATTAATAAGCTATTAATTTTCAAACGAATTGTTTTAAAGAGGAAATTTTATTTGTTCCATAATAAAAGTCTATATTGAAATCAAATTGTCGGGATTAAATTCATACTGTAACGTAACATCTACATAATTTCGTGACTCAGACCACGTCATAATGAGCCGGTGTGATTGTCGGTGCGGTAACCGGCATTAAACTGTGTCCTTCACGGTAATTTGCCGTCACAACGAACCCTTTTTATTGCGTTGCGCATTTCCTAATGTGTGGATTACGTTACATACGAATAGATACGTATAAGAGATAAGACAATTATGTGATACATTGTTTTACATACATTTTTATATTTAAAAACTTAAAAAGTAATCTTTAACTTACTTTAAATGCATCGAATAACATAAATATGTAGAGGTAGTAATCATTGGAATTAAAGAACAAAGTAAGTTAATTAATATCTTGCTCACTAGATTGGTAAAACTTATGGTCATAATTTGTCGTGGAGAAAATTATGCGGTAGTAAAAGCATGGTAAGAGCGTCGGTGGCTCAGGGGTTAAGCAGTTGACATGCAATCTGCAGGTCCTGGGTTCGAATCCCGCCATATACCAATGTGTTTTTCGATTTCTGATTTACGTATGTACATTTATCCGACATTCCTACGATGAAGGAAAACATCGTGATGCAACCTGCACATGTCTAAGAATATATTCAAAGGTATGTGTGAAGTCAACCAACCCGCACTTGCCCAGCGTGGTTGACTATGGCGTAATCACCCTTAACATAGGGCAGGCTCCGAGCCCCTCGGTGGGGACCTATAGTGAGCTGATGATGATGATGAGAAGTATGGTAACATTAAAAATGTAATAAGTTATTAACATATTTTAGTTAATTATTCGGTTTTTTTTTTTAAATTTTATTTTATATCATAGATTTAAGAGTTTATGTATTATAAGTATATATATGTATAAGTTAGCTGATTACATATGCATTATAAATAGATTAATTAAATGGTTAATACTAACCAGCTTTACAAGGATCCATGCCGATGTCATCTGAATGTTTGTGCTCATAGTGCGACGACAGTAGCTCGTCTATTGTGTATGAATGTGGCTCCTCCCTCCCTTTAGCCGAGGTTACTTCGAACGTTGCACATGTTATAACAATCAGTATAACACTGACCGCCATTGGGTACACACGTCTACACCAGAACGTCATTTTTGAATATTTATTGACACTGATTTGAACACTTTTACATAATTTCCAACGTTTTATTTGATGGTATCTGTAACAAAAAATACATCAAGTTAATATTATATTTGATTGTAGTCGCCTTCCAATATAAAGTTCAATTTTATATGCAAAAACAAATTTAATTGCTTCCTTTCGACTCAGTCTTCAATTCAAAGAAGATATGTTTAGATAGAATAAAATGTTCCTTTGTTTAAAATTAGTATGTACTATCACTACGCTATAATGACTCTGGGAGCAAATTAATTTATAATTAGCACTGCGCATATCGTTGAATAGATCCTCAGATAAATCAGTGCGGCGAGCGTCGGGTCCAAGTAATCTCTTAATATTTCTAGGTCTAAACGGTTGACAAATAGAGCGATTACTCAAGCCCAGTGGGGACCGCAAGAGTCCCAGCTATTACGATCTGGATGCGGAACTGCGGCAGCGGTTAAAACGATCACTTCCTTACTTTGTAAATGAACGTCTGTAGCGATTAGTGGCGGGAATTAATTCCGAGGTAACGGAGTAAATATTTTTATACACTTTAATTTTATCAGACAGATGTGTTGGGACTATAAGAAATTATGGATGGATTGTGTGAAATATGTGCATAAGAATTGAATGAAATCAGATGAAACAGTTTTTCTGCGCATATTTTAATGCAAATTTGACGAGTCAAAATGTTACTGCGCGGAATTTGTTGCGTCGGAATTAAGTAAAAAAAATATTATAATATATACGTGATACGAAAGCTATAATTAATAAGGAGAAGACGAAGATACGAAACATTTTTTGGTTGTACGAGGACATATGCGGTTAAACCAAAGTTTCCTTTGACGCTATGATTAGCGAACCAGCTAAACTGTAAACTTTAAAGCCCGTACCGAAGTTTGGCCAATGTTTGCTCCGTTCTCTCTAAATAGTTTGGATGTAAAGAAATTGTTGTTGGGAGTTTGGTGAGTAAACAAGAGATCGTACGTACAAATACTTTGGAAATGAAGTTTTAGTGACTGATTTGGAAATTAATTACACAGAATTAACTAAAAGTAATCATAACTTCGAATCCACCATTTAAACACATGCAGAGTCGTTAGAACACTTAGGGACCCCCCTCCCAGGGGGGTCCCTAATTGTTACCCCTCCCCTACCCTGTGTTACCCTCAAGACAACGTTACGTATTGCAAAATACATAACAAAAACAATCACAAACCAAGTGAAAAATAGTTCCGTATTCTGCTTTAATCATTACTAATATATCAAACATACAAAATCCTAACCAACAAAAATCTCTTATCAGTCGAACAGGACGAAAAAAAAACGCATGTAGTTTTGTGAACTTTCCCCAGATAAGGCAGAGGTCACGGCTGGACGATAACGGACCCTTTCCGAGAGTCCGAGCACACCATGCGAACAATAGTTGTACAGATAAGTAAAAATGTAAGGGCTTTTTACTCAGAATTCCATACACTATCTGATTTTGGATATTCTATCGATTCTTGAGAAGAATTTCAACTTATCAATGAAGATTTGTTGTACCTACTAACTCGATTGTCAATTTCTACTCATGAATCAATGGAATTGCAAAGTCTTGTTATTTTAATGGTTCCATTGATAAAAGGGTAATGTTTTGCTACTATTTACGACTGTATATTTATTCAATTGAAACCTTTTGTAGCATAAACGGAGCTCGATTTTACTGGCTGAACTATTCTTCTATTAGTATTCTTTTCCCCGAATAAATTTATATTTAGATTTTTACATTTAACTTCTGCTTATTATTAACTAGCTGTCACCCGTGAATCCGTCCGCACGCAATTAAAAAACGTGAATTAGCCAACGTAATCTTCCAGGATATGTTCTACATCTATGCCGAATTTTGGCAAGATACATGCAGACACTCTGGATATACGTTGTAACATCTATCCATTCATCAAATAATTTGCATTTATAAAATTAGTATGACTACTTATAACTTAATATTATAGACCACGATAATTTGGACAAATAATTCTTGCAACTTAAGTGCATTTGAATGTAATAGAATCTTTAGTTTTAGACAAATCACATACGTAATTGCAAATAGAACAATTATTTTGTATACAAGTACCTCGACATCATATCAGCTTCTGTTCTTTGACCTTTCATTCACGTTTACAACCAATATCGCTAGTTCAGCATTGTTCGAATTTGGACTCTATACCTTAGTTGCTATAGTCGTTAGTCATTTGGCTATGTTTGACGTTTGTTACGTTATTCTTCGCAAAACAATAGACTGCTGGTCAACATTATCGCTGAGATAACAGATCCAATAATAATGTGGACGCTTTCTTTGTATTGGTATGGGCAGGTCTAAATGAATGTTGGGCGAAATAGATTTATACTCAATAGGACGATAACATAAGTATTTTGTAAGACAGATGTAACAATGGTCTATACAATTTAATACTAAAACTAATATATAAACTAAACAGTAACGTATCTGTCCGGTGTCGGCACCGACTAGTTTCGTACCCATCGGGGGCCCTTCATTCTGATGTATGGGACTAGTATTTTGCGAACACGGAGTGAGCGACGGACTGGAATTAGTCGGTGCCGACACCGGACGTACGTGAGTCTTAATCTTTTTATTTATTACTTTATAGTATAATAATATCTCACGAAAGTATCTAGTCTAGTGTTATTAGTCTAATAGATAAATAAAAAATAGGAATCTCTAGTATAAATAAATGAGATCTTGTTCAATTAGAAATCACTAGAACTATCATCACCAAGTATTGAATAAATTACAAACTCTTATGACATACCGTAGTTATTTTTATACGAACATCAGATTACCAATACAAGAGACATTGACACGAGTGATATAATTACAGTGGTAGAAAACAATCAACCGATGTCGAACATTTAAAATATATTTTTTTATAACAAAAGGCGGTAAATGAGCAAAAACATAAAAGTGACCCACACACATGGACATGCACAACACTAGAGGAACTACAAATGCATTTTTGGACTATCACATAGAGAAGACTTGTTAAAATAATGTACTGCAAACGTATTCACATATAACTGTTACTGTCTCTTTAAACGAAGAAATATAATATATTAACACGTACACCGAGTGTGTTGCAGTTGTGTTTTGTTTATTTATCCACTTAGTATAGGTGTCACGATACATCTAATAAAAATAACAGACATTAGAAAAATACCTAAATGTTATTCCAAAATATGACTCAAAAATGCAAAAAGATAAGCTGTTTAATCAATAAACTACAATGCAAACGTCTACCAAATAGATGCATGTAATAACTTTTTAGACAAACTTTTTCGATTAACATGTTAGCCGGCATGTCGGACTATATGTCCGACAAGCTATACTTCTATTCATATGTAAATAATAAGCATATGAGCAATGTAAATATGGTTTTATAAAACTATATTTTTAGGTGTTTTCAAATGGTTTTGGACAAAATAAAAAATAAAAAAAATCGGTTTTCAAAAAATCATTCTGGCAGCTAACGTGTTAAACAACGGATAACAAAAAAAGTAATAACAGGAAAATCGATTTCATATATCAAAGATAATTCGTATATTTGCGAACACAAATAATCTATACCTAATAAGTATTATTAAAAGGAAATATTCGATTGTTTGCAAATAGGCTTCGAAACCAATGTATCATTTTGAAAAATTCTGTCGCTGCTACACTATCCCTGGATCATCATCATCATCAGCTCACTATACGTCCCCATCGAGGGGCTCGGAGCCTACCCTAAGTTAGGAGTGACTAGGCCATAGTCAACCACACTGGCCAAGTATCCCTGGAACACTGGATGTCATAGACTATTTATTAGTGCAATTTTTTAATTCAGTGCATACAAATTCGATGGTTGCTGCTAGTATTATAAACAGAATTAAGGAAAAAAAATTGTTAGAGAAAAAAACCCAGAGATAACAATAATTTTTGTACATGTGTCGTTTAGTAAAAACTCACCGTAATGTTCAATTTTAAAAGCGATATATTGGGGACCATCTTTTGTAAAACTTGAGTACTTTCGCATATCATTGTGGTAAACTTCTAATAACAACCAGAATATAGCCTCAATAGTAAGATTTATGCAAAAAAAAAAAAAATTGTAAGTGAAAATTACGTAAGCATGAGTCTTATTTGCAGTGCACAAATGATTAAATTAAATTAATTATCATTAATAATCTCGACGTCATTTGTTGTATAAAATCTAGTATTTATACTTAGATTATAGATTAAAAAATCCTACTGCAAATTACTTTAAAATAATTATTAAAGTACACTTTTTTTAAATAATATAAAAAAGACTTACACAATAACGATGTTAAAAAGTTAACACAATCACGCACTCGCGTCGTATACAAACGGGCGGGACAATGCCGGGATGCGAACACGATGACGTCCCGAGGATAACTGACACCCGCCCGTTGTGCTCCCGACCATCTGTCTGATGTACAGATAACCTAAAAAAATTACCGCGCTTTTTTTTTTGCATCATGCCAGTAACAATGACAACACATTTGTTAGTGTAGTGTAGTGCATCTTTTAGGTTATATTTTTTGATAAAATTTAAATCAAAATGATTTTTATACAAAAAAATTAAATATTTTACCCACAGATTATGCAGGTTATTTATAAAATAGTAAGGTAAGCATATTTTTTTCAGTGTTATAACTTTGTTTTTTTTCGATTTTTTTTAAATCAATATTTATAAATTCTTAAAGATGTTAACGTCAGTCGAATAAAGGTTATTTTAATCTTGTTAGTTCAGTAAATATTTTTGTGCCGACGCTACCATCGACCTTTTAACGTCTGTCAAAACTCTGCATAACGGGCCATTCATTATTATGTTAAAGTTTATCGTGTTCAGTAAACATGTTTTAATTACGTCCCTCGGGACTAGATACGTGCACGCTGTTTACATGGAAACCGCTAATCGATCGAAATCTATTATAATTGACTCTACACGACATCTTTTATATAACAATGAAAAGATGACCGTTAGATTTAATTAACCCTTAATTCGATGGTATCCAGTGTGACGAACGAATAATTAAAAAAAAATGTATTAAACTAGTTTAGAGAGAATTACGTAAGTATGACTTTACTAAGAGAAACAGTTTTTAGCTACAAAAATTTCGTCGAATTCAAATTCGTCGGGTTAAAATTATTAAAGTGTTCTACAATTTTTTTAGATATCATATATAAGTTGTATCCCGCGACTCCGTGCGTAGTATTGGAAAAAACTTAATAGTATCCTACGTGTTCTTTTAGACTATGTTCTACATCTATGCCAGATTTCAGCGAGATCCATACAGTTCTACTTTAAATATCTTCAAACAAAAATCCATTCATCTAAACATTCGCATTTATAATATTAGTAAGATGTTACGAGTACACTGTTAAATTTCTAATTCAGTGAAATGTTTGTACTTTGGTTACAATACGAATATAGTTGAGAATATTAGTTAAATTAATACTGTTTATTTACTAGTTTTTTTAACAGTGGTAGAGCCCGCTTTAACATCTTCGCACAAATTGGCCCGGCTCGCCCGGTGAAATACCACGACCACACAGAAGACAGGCGTGAAGTGGAAGCTATTCCGCGTTTCGTCTGATGAGTGTGCGTTCCGGAGGCCTAATTTAGTCCTCTTTCCCTTCCCACGCTTTTTCTCAAAGGATGGGAACTGGAAGTGGACTTTCCGGATGAGAGGATGCATGGAAGGGGAAAATATTTTCTTTCTGTGCATCCTCTCCTCTGTCGATTAAAGTTAGGCAACGCATATGCAATTGCGTATGTCTATGGGCAACGGTCACTTCGCTATTTCAGCGATTTCAGGTGGCCGCTCGCTCGTTTGCCACCTTATTATATAAAAAAAAACTAACTTTTTTCTAAATAGGTCCGAAGACTTTAATCTTTAGACATGTATATAAATTAAATACAATGTGAACACAATTCTTTTTCTAAACCTACCATAGAATATGTTTCCGTATATAAAAAAACTCATCTTATTTTGCGTTCTGTTCACTCCGTGTGCGAAAAATTGAATCACAGCTCGCAGCGAATATAATAGTGAGCCGCTCTCAAATAAATTGAGTTTTACTCAACGTGATATGAATGTATAATATGGTATGTCTTTCTCTAATAGTATGTTATTAAATATCACAGAATAGGTATCTGACAAGAAATATTCATGGCGTAATATTAACAAGAAGCTTTTCCCCGCGTCTCTATATACGCGATATTAAAAAAAAACATAGTAAGTAGCCTATCAGTTCTTCCAGACTATGTTGTACATCTGTTTCAAATTTCATCGATGTCCATAGAGCCGTTCTGAAGATATCTTCTTACAAACACCATCAGTCCATCTAAACTTTCGCATTTTTAATATTAGTAAGATTATTGCTTTGTATCGAAGCGTTCTTCGTTCGTTCATTAACAGACGTGAAATTAACGGAAAAAAGTTAATCACCTTTTTGGTTAGACAACATTTTTTAATAAATCGTCGTTTTACTATAAAAGTATTAAGATTACAAAAAGACGGAACATATTAACGTAGTGTTGTCATAATTAAAGTAAATTGAAATATTCGTTATATAAATACCTTAATACTTTTTATGTTGTGGATTTATGTGCCAGCATCGATAAATGTAACACATAGAAGAAGAAAAAAAGTAATGAGTATTTATGTCGAAGTCAGTAGCTGGCTGAAATTGATAAAATTATTAAAAACCTTGCTTTCCAAGTCATCACATCCGTCATAATGACGAGGGTCCCGAGCTTTTTGCGACCAATTGAACCGGAAACGTGGAGTGTTAAAAGTTAGATTAGACGCCAACGAAAGCTCGTTAAAGTCACCTCATTTCGATAAAGCTATAAAAATTCTATTAGGACTATGTCAATTTTTTTACTTCAGCTATTTCTTACGAATCATTAATTATTATTTAGAGGCTTAGAGCCAGGAAACGGACATAGGATAATGTTTATTAATTTTTTTCGAATTTATGCCTTGAAGAGCTGCTTTTTATTTACCTTCCTAATATTATAAATGTGAATGCTTAGATACTCTAGAACGGCTGAACAGATCTCGATTAAATTTGGCATACGTATAGAACATAGTCTAAAAGAACACATACATTTATTAAGTTTTTTATATACCCACGCGGATGGTGTCGCGGGCGACAGATAGTATGATATAAAAGGCAGTTAACTTTTATCTTATTAGAGTTAATTATTGTTAACTTGATTTCAATATCATAATTGTTAGATGTTACCATTACATTATAATTAATGTGCGTGTAACGTACGACTGCTGATGACAGTAGATAATTACTTCCTTATTCAAACAAGATTAATTATGTTTCATAATAAATAATTCATGATCGAATTAATCGAATTAACAAGCATTAAGACTAAGTTAGAGCGTCGGTGGCTAAGGAGTCAAGCACTTGACTTACAATCTGCAGGTCCTGGGTTCGAATCCCGCCATGTACCAATGTGTTTTTCGATTTGCGATTTACATACGTACATTTATCCGACGTACTTACGGTGAAGGAAAACATCGTGATGCAACATGCACATATCTGAGAAGAAATTCAAAGATATGTTTGAAGTCAACCAACCCGCACTTGGCCAGCGTGGTTGACTATCGCCCAAATACCCTAAACTTAGGGTAGGCTCCGAGTCTCTCGGTGGGGACGTATAGTGAGCTGATGATGAAGACTAACATAATTTTTAATGCTTGCATTTTTATAGTTGAAATGAATACACAAATATAGTTTCCGCTATTGTAACACTTGTTTAACAATAATACACAGACAGTTTAGATGGATGTATGTTTAAAGGTATCATCAGAACAGCTCAAAAAATCTCACTGTAATATGGCATAGATGACACACATGAGACAGGCGTGAAGTGGAAGCAATACCGCGTTTCGTCTGATGAGTGTGCGTCCCGGAGGCCTAATTTAGTCCTCTTTCCCTTCCTACCCTTTTTTTATAAGGAAAGGATGGGAAGTGGAAGTGGACTTTCCGGATGAGAGGATGCATGGAAAGGGAAGATGTTTTCTTTCTATGCATCCTCTGGTCCGTCGATTAAAGGTAGGCAACGCATATGCAATTGCGTATGTCCATGGGCAATGGTCATTTCGCTATCTCAGCGATTTGAGGTGGCCGCTCACACGTTTGCCACCGTATGATATAAAAAAAAGATATAGAATATAGTCTGGACAAATAAATAGACTACTAATTATTTTTTTAATACTGTGCGGACGGAGTCGCGTGCGACAGCTATTATATATGAATTTAGGTATTATAGACTTAAATTCCAAAGCACATAAATGCCCTCAAAAAAGGCTTTCAATCAAAGACCATGAAGGCTTTTCGTTAAGTATCAAATAACCTAATTGAAAAGGTTTTTCTTCGTGTGAATTGGAACAGAATACTTTAGTTTAATAAAGAGGATTATATCTTAGTAATTCTATACCGTTCCATTAAATGTTTAAATTGATTTAATAAATAATTCGAAGTAATTTTTATTAAACATAAAAAACAGATAAATTTCAAATGAATTAAGATTTTATTTTCAAAATATAGATATATAAAATAATACAATTATCAATAATAACGATTGACATATTTCTGCCTAAACTGAGATGTTTTTTTTTTCAAGAATAAAATAAGAAATAGACGTAAAAAAAGAAACAAAATACAAATGCGACTGAGCAGTAACTCCGTATTCCCGCTGCTCGTTTGCCCCTACTGTTATAAAAAAAACTTTAAATGCTTTGCGATAAAATGGAGGATGTAATTAAATTTAAATAAGATATTATTGATGTTGTTTATAATATTTTTGAGCAATAAATAAAATTAGGTATAAACACGTTCAAAGCCACCTATTCGCGTAAGTTCACTCATTCCTTAACACCCTACTGGCATTGAACGTGTTAAACGAAGAAAATTAAGTCAAATGCTAATTAAAATTTTATTATGGCAATAAACTGTTCGTCCTTTTAATGTCATTCAATCGACATTTTCTCAAGTAGGGGAATAAGTATCACTCGACTTGTCTTAAAATAGAATGTAATAAAAAACAACGTTCAAGGAATCCCTTATTTGCACGACGTGACCGAGTGCGGGAGAATCCCGACACTGTAATAAAAGGCTTAAGGGAAACTTCGCAGTGTTAAAATGTTCAAGAAACAATGATATCGCCAAATTGATTCGAAATTTAATGTTAACCCTAATAAACACGCAATCCTTTTTATTATAATTTAAACAACTTTATTTACGGTAATTCCTGCTTAGGTTTTAATCCAAATCTATACGCTACTTTAATTGTATCGTAATTTTAGTTTTAGATTTTTTCCAAGTCCAATTAATTGTAGCTTTAGAATATTCTAGCGGTCAGTCTATACACCAATGGGC